TTGTACTGGCGTTGTCACCTACAGCCTTTATCCTGATGTATTCTTCTATACCTAACTTTTGGAGCATTTTTCATTATGAAGGAATGTTAAGTTTATTTACTTTTGGTTTTTGAGACAGGGTCTTACTTTGTAGCCCAATCTGTCCTGGAAGTCACAACAATCCCCCTACAACAGCATTTTGAGTGTTGGGATTACAGGTATGAATAAACATACTAGCAGAATTTTATGAAATGATTTTTTTCTGTATCTGACATAATTATGTCGTCGTGTGGATGGTAGGTATGGCACTCTTCGTTTTCATATATTGAACTGTCCCTGCATCCCTGGAACAACTCCTAGTTGATCTTGGTGTATCATCTTTTTATGTGCCGCGGATTTGATTTAGTGGTGGTTCTCGCCTATTTATGAGAGATACCGGTGTGTACTCTTTTATTTATTTATTTTATTGTGTCCTTTTCTGAGTCTAGTGTCAGGATAATATTTGAAGAGTTTCCTTCATTTTAATTGTCTGAAATAGTTTTAAAAGAACAGGAAAAGAAACCTCAAAACAAGAAAGATACACTCTACTTAGGTCAAGCTCATTATGGTAAAGCTTCCTCTCTTTAGTCAACAAATTGAATTTTAATTTAAAAAAAATACTTTTATTTTTTTAAAGATTTCTTTTACTTTGTATAAGCGTTTTGCCTGCATTATGTCTGTGTACCACATACATGCTTGGTGCCTAAAAAAGTGGTGAGCATCCATCCATGTCAGTGCTGGGATTGAACCCAGGACCTTTGCAAGAACAGCATGTGCTTTTAACCACTGAGCCAACTCTCCAGCCCCTAAAATTTTTAATTTTTAATAGACAAGGTCTCACTATATTGCCCACCCCAGTCCTGAACTCTTGGGCTCAAGCAATCTTCCCTCAGCCTTTTGGTGGCTGGAACTACAAATGTGCACCACTGGGGGCACAATAAATATGACTACTACCATTAATCTATTAACACTTCCTGCTTTCTGCAAATGGCGGTGGGAGTCCATACTCACGAGTGTACTGCAGGATAAATGAGAACACTAAGAGCCAACCATTTTAATCACCTTGAAAGATTCAGTCAGGAAAAGCGGAACACTGGTCTTACCTTCTTTACTTCTACCAGTCATATGAGTCCTTAGTGATTCATTTTTGAGTGGGGACAGTATCAGGCTCTGGCCAGGATTCCGCCAGAAGCCTTCTGGAAGCCGCTTTTCTTTCTTCTTCTTCTTTTTTTTTTTTTTTTTTGGTTTTTCGAGGCAGGGTTTCTCTGAGTAGCCCTGGCTGTCCTGGAACTCACTCTATAGACCAGGCTAGCCTCGAACTCTCGAACTCAGAAATCCGCCTGCTTCTGCCTCCCAAGTGCTGGGATTAAAGGCGTGCGCCACCACCGCCCGGCCCTGGAAGCCGCTTTTCATCAGGAGCATTTCTGGTCGTCTCATGACACTTATGATGGATGTTTCCCAGCCTCCAAACCATCCACTTCACCTAAGAACTTTCCACTTGCCACCACCGGCTTCTTTCAGGATTATAAAGGTCTCTTAAGTCTTTAAGTTATACATACATATATACATATGCAGGTAATCATAAAGGTCTCTCTCTCTCTCTCTCTCTCTCTCACACACACACACACACATACACACACACACACACAGTACTTCCAACAGTATTAGAGTAATAAGGGAAGATCTCACTTAAAATTTATAGTTCTAAGACCTTAGAAACAAAGTAAACGTCGCCAAGCAATGAGGTTGCAGAAATGAAGCCAGGGAAAGAGGAAGTAGTCCAAGAGTCTAAGAACATGCAGGAAGTAAGAGGCCAAACGTCCTGTCCACAGTGGAATCCAAGTTTTCCCTGTGTTTGCTCAGGTGAGACTATATTTTCCCTAGCTAGCAAGAGCATCGTTTACCACAGGGTTCTTGTGGTAGGCCAGTAAAGGACTCATTCATGCGATGTTATTACTCTGTGACCTTAGCAAGGACAATGAAGCAGACGTTGTTTCCATTACCTTTATGAGAACTCCTGGAATACGCAGCAAACATAAAGGACACTTGGTGAGATCACACGGGACTAGGGTTTCCATTTTTAGCTTAGGCACTGATCAATGATATGAAATACAAACTTTCATCTCCATGAGTTCTTATTGAATGAAAGTCAGTTGACTTTCAGTTTTGTTTGAGAATTAGAAAAATGTAAAAAAGGAGGCAATCGAAAGGGAAGAAAATTTAGTTTCAAAAAACTCCAACTTATACTCTGATCTACTACTTCATGAGTACTGAGGCCTATGTATGCACATAAAATAAAATGTAAAAAAAAAAAAACCTTTTAAAAAACCAAACCTTTTCTTTGTGAATCTCACACCTTGCACCCTAGCCCCACATCCCCTCAATCCTCCATATCTGCCCTCTTCCCTTACCTCACCTCTAAAAGAAAACAAAAACATAAAAAAAAAAAAATCTACTGTGAAGCTGCAGTGTGTCCCACAGTATACTCTTTTGCCAAAACAGCTTTACTTGCAAATGTTCATTGCAATGAGTCGTCTGGTTTGAGCCCTCTGGCTTTTGCTACACTTTCAATACTGAATCCTCACTGGGATACCCTGTTGCTTCCCTGTGTCATGGAGATCCTACAGCTTTGGATCTGCAGGACCAGCCTCTTCATGTGCTCCAGCAGATCATAGATGGGGTAGATGTTGGGATGGGCCAACTCAAACCCTGGATCTGAATCTAGGTAATAACCGAGTTGGACAGCCTGTCAGGTCTCCTGTGCCCACACCACCAGGATCAGCTTTCCTGCTTTCCCCAAGCATGGGGCAGGGACAGATCTTCTGCCTGCAGCAGCTGGCATTGAGCTGGACCAGCTCTCCAGAACTGCCTCCTGTAAGGGTAAGGGGTGGGGCCAGCTCACCCAAGTGCCACAGCTGTTGAGGGACAGGGTCAGCTTTCCCTTGCTTACATTCCTAGGGCTGGCTCTGCAGCTCTGAAGTGCTACCCAGACAAGGTGTAGGCCCACTCTCCCTGGAGTCCTGTAGCCAGCAAGGGGCAGGAGAGAGGGGCCATTCTGCCTGAGCCCATGCCAGTGAAGGAGGGGTAGGGGTCAGCTCTCCCACATTCATGTACACACACACACACCCCACCAAGGCCAGCCCTGCTGTGCTGCCAAGGGAAGTTGCAGTCCTAGCTCCTGAGTGCCGCTGCCAAAGAGGGTCAGGTGAAGACATTCTTGAGTACACATCCTAAGTGACAGTGAAAACTGGTTTATGGATGTGAGTGTGCCAAAATATTTATTTCATATAAAGCACAATTATACACATACACACACACACACACACACACACAGAATATGTGGCACTAAAAATGAGAGGGAGTGACTAGGAAAAGGAAATCTAAAATGGCTCTTTCAGAGGCAATTAAACATGAACTCTGCTTCAGGGACTCATGAGAAATCAAAATACTAATGCAACTCTACTTGAATGATAATTAAAAATATATGTTTTTTTTTAAAAAATCATGTTTACTCCATTTCTAAGCAATGTACTTTTCTGGCCTGAGCTTCTTTTAGCCAAAGTCATTAAAATTTTTTTCAAAGAAAAAGTTGGATTAATTAAAAAACAGGCTTGTAAATCATTAAGTTTATAACACACAGAATACAAACCCAAAAGGTAGATTTATTTAAATTACTAAAATAGCTTTTAAAGTTATTTACACATTAACCGCTACAATTATTTTTCTTGAAGGATAAAAGCAATATATCACTTAAAATTTATTTAAGCCAGTGGAATATTCAATAAAACATTTCCATTTCCTTATGATATGTATGTAAAAAATAAACTTTCAAAAACTTTTTTATAATTCTTTACAAAATAAATCTTATCAGTCTGACTTGACCGAAACAGATAATAAAGGTACAAATATTGGTAGAACCCTGGAAAGAAGTTAGACTACTTTCTACCACCCACCATGAGACTTCCAGTGGGGAAAGAAGGGTAGACTAGGACTCTAAATATTCTCCTTCAGATAAGAACTCAAGACGCATCTAGAGTCGTAAGAGTAGAAAACAAAAGCAGCAGCCCAGATGAGAGAGCCTAGTTATGAACGCAGAACCCGAAAATACTATAGCAGAAGAGACCTAGGCTCAACATTCTTCATGTGTGTTAAGGTTCACTCTTTTTGGCTTGAGGTACTCAAAAAAATTGATTATGTGCATAGTATATTTTTGTATTTGTTATGGACTGCCATTCAAGGACTTCAAGTACTCATGTATACAGAGAAAATGAAGTTCTCTTCAATAGCTCAGCAGAAATGTGTTAACCAATTTTTGAAGCTGTCTGTGTGTGTGTGTGGGGGGGGGTTGAGACAGTACTTCAGTCTGCAGCCTAGGCAAGCTGCCTTGAAACTCACTATATAGCTAACAATGGCTTCCTCTTCAACGTCCCAAATCCTGGCGACATAAGACAGGAGTTAGCGGACTTTGAAATGTGTTTTTACTGCTGGGGGATGTTCATCAGCAGAGCCCGTGACAAGTAGGTGTCAGATCTCAGGTTCAATTCCTAGTATTGGCAAAAAAGTAAAAAAATTAAAAAATGACAATAAAAAAATTCCAAACCATCAAGTTGAGGATGTACTGGAAACTAATCTCTTTAAGACAAAAACTGTCAGGTATTATCAAAGAGACTGCTTTGAAATTGCCTACCTTTCTTTTTTTTTTTTTTTTTGGTTTTTCGAGACAGGGTCTCTCTGTGTAGTCCTGGCTGTCCTGGAACTCACTCTGTAGACCAGGCTGGCCTCGAACTCAGAAATCCGCCTGCCTCTGCCTCCCAAGTGCTGGGATTAAAGGCGAGCGCCACCACTGCCCGGCTTGCCTACCTTTCAAATTGTTAAGAGTTAAGTAAGGAAATACACTGCATAATATACAAGCTTAAAAAATCTTGAGAGGACCATGGAATTCTTTTTTACTGGGGAGTGGGGTTGAATTAGGGTCTTGATTATATATATATATGTGTGTGTGTGTGTGTGTGTGTGTGTGTGTGTGTGTGTTTATACACATATAAAAATATTCCAGGCTGGCTTTGAATTCAAGATACTACAACCTCAATGTGATGAGTGCTGAGATTACAGGCATGTGGTATGCTGGTCACAGAACCCAGGGTATTGCACAGGCTGGGCAAATGCTCTACAACTGAGCTTTAGCCTCACACCAAGAACAGAAGCGTAAAAAGCAAATTGTAACAGTCCGAGGCCCGCAGCCTAGGCGTGCCTGTGTGACCACCTCTCAGTGGCTGTTCTATGTCACTTTTATGTTCTTCCTTTTTAAAGTAACATTTGATTTTGAACACTTTTTAATCTTTTTTTTTTTTTTTTTTTAAGATAGTGTCTCATGTAGTCCAGGGTGACAGAAAACTCACTCTACAGATGAGGCTGGCCTTGAACTTCTGCTCCTCCTGACTTGACTACCGAGACAGCACTGGGATCACAGGCGTGGCTTACCATGCCCAGCTTGCAGCTATCTTTTTTTCCCTTCCTTTTCCTTCTCTATTAAACAATTTCTCTTCACTTTCTACCTCCAAACCCCTTCTCCCCTCTCTAAAAACCAGTGGGGGGAGGAACTGGCTAAACTGCACACCCAGTTTTGTTTTTATAGGTAGAAGCTAAGGATCACACATCTAAATGCTATGAGAGAAAAACTAATGAGGAAATTCACAGCTCCAACTAGGGAGCTGTCAGCCATGAATAAGGTCACAAACACAAACAAACGAATTTAAGTATAAAGCTGATTCTCTGAGAGAGGAACCTAGTCCTTCTCACTGGTCACATCCCAGCAAGAATGATTCGGCCACAATCAAAGCAGACACTTGGGAACTGCATATACTGTGCACTATCAAGGCAGACACTTGGGAACTGCATATACTGTACACTATGCTAAACACCTTTAACATGGTTCTTAGTGGAAATAGAGAAAGGATTCTCTGAAATCACAGATAATTAGGCTGCACAAATGATTTAGTTATTCCACCTGTATGTATGAACTTTACTTCCTTTAAAAAGAAACCAGTTTTCAAAAACTGCTCCAAAATCTGTCTCTGGTTACAAAGTCTGAAGACTGTTCAAACTCGAGACGGGATTTCCACTTGTCTCCCTCATAAGCAGCTGCCTGCTTGCAGGGCGCTCTCAGGCTGCACGGGCAGCACGAGGTGGGAGATGCGGCTCCAGAGCCCATTCAGCTTGTCTGGGTCCATGTGGTTGTAGGAGCTGGCCGTGCTAGAGCTGGTGAACTTGACTTTAAGGAAATCCCTCACTTTCTCTTCAATTTCCTTTAGGCCTAGACTGGCTTCCAGTGTCTTCTCCTCCAACAGCACAGTCAGGACGAGGGCTACATCTTTGAAGGCTGCGTTTTCGTGGTCACAGTATTTATAGAAGATCAAGGTAGAGCCAGCAGGCAGGGATTCGAAGCGGTGTACCACAGCTGCATTCTGGCCATTTTTGAACCCATCAGTCAGCTCCTGATCAACTTCATGCTTGACAAGGTCACTGTCTTGAGCAGCTTTACCTGCCCCATCAATCCGGATGGCACGGACACTACGGAAGGAGGAGTAGGCGTCGGCAATTTGTTCACTCAGACACCTGAGCACTTCTGCAGCATCTTGAGCTGCAGTGAGCAACAGGATGGCAGGCTGGGGCCGAGGGAGGGAGCTATTCAGATGCTTTTCTAGGAATGTTGTGCCTCTCTTCCACAGCTTCTCATTTTGACTCTGGTACTTAGACTGGAGTTCTTTCATCTGGTTCTGGAACTCTTGAACGGCAGTGGTTTCTACTGCAGGGGTATGAAGGAACCAAAATATCCCCATGGCAAGGATGGCAACAAGTCCCAGCAGCCACCATTTTATCTTGACAGAAGATTTATTTAGGGGTTGTACAGCTGCTTCTGCTCAGAAAAAAAAAAAAAAAAGGACATATGAGTCACATTTTGTTAGATTGAAAGGTGAGTGATTTCTTTCCTTTTTGTGTGTGTGGATGCAGGTGCTCACCCTACAGAGGCTGAGTGTAATAGACCTTCCTAGAGTTACAGTCTCAAGTGACTGAGCCCCTGAGAGGTGCTGGAATTAAAATTGGGTCCTCTGCATGAGAAGTACACGTTCTTAACTACTGAGCTATATCTGTAGTCCCATGCATGACTTTGCCTATGTATGTAGACCAGGTTAGCCTTAAACTCCCTGCCCCTGCCCCTTGAGTGTTGGCATTAAAGGTGTGTCTGACTAAGTCTGACTACGAGGGAGAACTTTTAAAAAGGGGAGCTGGTAATGTTCTTTTTTCCCTCAAGAAATAAAAATATCCTCTTCAATAAAAGCTCATATGCCTAAGTTATGGATCTCTATATAAATGTAGGAAAGATAATGATTTCTAAAGACAAATCATTTAAGTATGAAATGGTGTAAACATAACTTCAGAAGTAAAATTGTTTATAATACAAGACTCAGGAGCATTTTCTAATAGTTAATAACGGTTATTTTACAAAGCACTGCTTAACTCAGAAGCTCAGCAGTTAACACGGCTATCTATCCAGGGTAGAATACTTCTGAAGTACATAAAAAAAGGATTTGCTATGCTTCTCATATGCGATAGCAGCTACTTGTCCACGTGAATTCACTATACTGATAACTTCCTTTGTGGGCTGCAGGCTGACAGTGTAGAACTCTGGCGCTGGACCTATCCATACTACTGGAGATAATTATGATATCATTTCACTTTCATAATGATTTTCTATTTCCACAGCATTTTCATAGATCACTTCACTTACCAATAAATACCACTTCTGAACATTTTATTTATTATTTTAGTAAATAGATGTACTAGGGACCTTTTGGAGCAGCAGATCTCAAGTTTATGGCTGGAAGCTATCTTAAACACTACTTGGTAGGTGTAGTCCCTAAAATTGACAGTAAGACATTTTTGGTTTTGGCCCTGGTGATAAGTGTTCTGGTGAATCAGCTAACATGGAAAATCTTCAGATGCTGAGGCAGAGATCACTGGAGACTGACTTAGCTGTCTTAGCACAGTCATTGTAGTTTTCTCTGCTACCGTACAAGGTTAAAAATGAGTGGTGGATGCCAGGTGCTGTGGTGTATGCTTTCAGTCCCAGCACTCGGGAGGCAAGTTAAGTTTCTGTGAGTTCCAGGCCAGCCAGAGCTATGCAGAGAGGCACTGTTTCAAACCAAAACCAACATCAACCAACCAACCAACCAAACAAACACAACAAAAACAAAAATTAGGAGAAGTGCTGGTGAGATGGCTCAGTGGGCCAAAGTGTTACTAAATATGATGACCTGAGTCTGATCTCCAGTACCCAGTTAGAAGAAAACTGACTCCTGAAAGTTGACCTTTGACTTACACACACACACACACACACACACACACACACACACAGAGTAGTAAAATTTAAAGGGGATGACAAAGAACCCATTTCATTAAGACTATTCTTCCAGACTGGAGAGATGGATCAGCAGTTAAGAGCACTGACTACTCTTCCAGAGGTCCCGAGTTCAATTCCCAGAGATCACATGGTTGTCCACAACCATCTGTAATGGGATCTGATGCCTTCTTCTGGTGTGTGGGAAGACAGCTACAGTGTACTCATAGACATAACAAAAAGAATCTTTAAAAAAAAAAAAAGATATAAGACTATCCTTCATGAAGTAGCTACATTAATTCTGTCCCCCCTCAGTCCTGGGCTGAGACACCGTGAAACTTGGTGTCAATGTCTAGTATGTGTGAGGCCCTAGCACAGTATCTAGCACCAACAAAACAAAGCAAAACCAAAAACTAACAACAACAACAACAACAAAACCAAACCCACCAAACCTCAAGACCTTTAACCCTCTGAGTTCCTATTTTCTCAATGCTATCTGCTGTGTAGCACAGACAACAGTTGTCCAAAGGAAAGGGACTTTATAACTCAGCTGCAACTTGAATCAGCACTTTTGAAAATGTATCATTTTTACTTGAAAAATCATTAATAATCTATGATTAGTCACACTCCTACATTTTGCAGCTTTTTCCTTGACAAATGAGCAAAGTCTACCTGGTACTTTCAGGCAATATTTGTTGCCAGTGTAACATACAAACTTTCAAGTGAAAATTAGTTCCTGACATTATAAAACTGATAGTTACCAATACTTAACTTTTAAACTTTTTTTTTTTTTGTTTTGTTTTGTTTTGTTTTTCAAGACAGGGTTTCTCTGTATAGCCCTGGCTGTCCTGGAACTCACTCTGTAGACCAGGCTGGCCTCGAACTCAGAAATCCACCTGTCTCTGCCTCCCAAGTGCTGGGATTAAAGGTGTGCACCACCACTGCCCGGCTAATACTTAACTTTTAAAAGTGTGTGTGTGTGTGTGTACATGTAGGTACATGGGTTCATGCCCACATATGATGGTCAGAGGACAATTTGTAGTAAAATTTAGACAGTCAGTTCTTTCCTCTACTCAGATTCAGACCTGTGTACAAAAGTCTTTACCAGCTAAGCCATCTCACTGGCCCCTTATTTTTTAAATTAGTTAATATTAATATATTATTTTGTGAGTCAGGGCACTGAACTCATGTCAATCCTCCCATTGTTCCTCACTACCCAATTGTCCTCTCAAGGACTGGGATCACAGGCATGCATCACCACTACTGGTAATATTTAACTCTTCAAAGACCTTGAGTTTGATAATGATATTAACAAATGTAACCTCAAAAGGTTACTTTTGAGGTACTGTACATTGTGTCAACATTCAGAAAATGTGCATACCATTCACTTTGTTTTCTTGAGAGGAGGTCTCACTATGTAACCTTGACTAGTCTGAAACAATGTAGACCAGGATGACTCAAACTCATGGGTGATTCTCCTGTCTTTCCTTCTTGAGTGCTGGGATTACCCTTGGGATACCCCTGGCTGTATATACTGCTTAAAAGATGAAGTCTCACTCTGTAGTCAGGCATGATTCTCCTACTTCAGAGTCCCATCATGCCTAGTGAGAATCTGATACCTTAGTGAATCAGTATTTTCTAATGACTAATGCACGACATTTCATTCAAATTCTAAGAATTTAAGCAAGATGTGGTGGCACATGCCTGTAACCTCAGCACTTGGAAAGTAGAACCAATAGCATCAAGAGTTCAAGGCCAGCATCAGCTACATAGTGAATTCAAGGCCAACATAGGCTATATAAAAGCTTGCCTCAAAAACAACACAACACACACGCACGCATGCACATACACACACACACACACACACACAAAACAATGCTCCCCCCCAAAAAAAAACAGCAAAAAGGAACTACCAACTAAAACAATTCTAGAAAATGACAATGAATTTTAATGCAAGAACACAAAAAACTCACTAGCAGTTCCTGGTTTCCCACTTCAGACTGTACTTAAGGACTTGCCACTTTCCTGCCAGTACCGTGTCCTCTCCTCACTCACTTTCACCTCCTTCATCCATCCTGAGCATTTAGGTTTCCCCCCTCAGTCTTCCTTCTGGTATTTTAAGTTCTACCTACAATTACATTTATTTATATGTATATATATTTAAGTATATTATAATTTATACACATATACACTTATACATTTCAGGCTAGAATCTGCATACAAAAGAACATTCAGTTTCTGTCTGAGTTTGAGTTACCTTCCTTAATGCATCCATTTCCTAGAAAATCCCATAATTTCACCTTTCTTTACATCTGAATAAAATTCCTGTGCGTGTGTGTGCGTGTGCGCACGTGTGTGTGTGTGTGTGTGTGTGCATGTAACACAGTTTCATTACCCATTCACTTGCTGACAGACATTCAGGATGGTCCTCCTCTCTGGCTGTCATGAACACAACAGCCATGAACGTGGATGGACCTACAAGTGTCTCGGTGGTAGGACTCGAAGTTCTTGGCTGTATACCCAGGGAATACACCTGGGTCATAGAGCAGCTCTGTAACTTCTGCGAAACCGCCATACTCATCTACGTAATCGCTGCACTAGTTTATCCTCCCACTAGGAGTGAATAAGGATTCTTCTTACCCCCACAACCTCACTAGTATTAACTGTCAGTTGTTCAATGTTGAAGTTGCAAAGAAAGTCTACAATTCCATAAAAAGGCTTTTAAAATTCTTCATATCTGAATAATATTTTTAGATACTTTAAAACAGAAGCGGGCCAGGCAGTGGTGGCCACGCCTTTAATCCCAGCACTTGGGAGGCAGAGGCAGGTGGATTTCTGAGTTCGAGAGTTCGAGGCTAGCCTGGTCTACAGAGTGAGTTCCAGGACAGCCAGGACTATACAGAGAAATCCTGTCTCAAAAAACAAACAAAAATAAAATAAAATTAAATTAAATTAAAAAAAAAAACAGAAGTGGATGTGAGAATCCAACTTGTTTATTAAACTAGAGATTAATGCCTAGGTAAATATGAGTAGGTTTAACCCACTTTTTAAAAATACTATGTGATCCTGCAACTCCACTGCTGGGTATGTATCCAAAGGGATAAATTCAGTATGTGGAGGAGACATCTGCATCTCAGGTTCACTAAAGCAATGATGCATAAGAGCCAAGCAGTGGAGACAACTCAAATGTCCATCAACTGATGAGTAAATAAGGAAAATCATCCATAACAAAGAATCCTGTCATTCACAGATTAACTGAAACTCTTTGTAGGTATTTTTATCAACGTAGAGACACACAAAAATTTGAGAATCACTAATAATTGCTTAGTACTCATTATTCAAGGTAACAAGCTCTGGGAATAAGAAAATTCTTCAAGGCTATATACAAGGTAAGTGTTTCGGTTTAGTTCAAATACACCTCCTCTGTGGACTTCCAAACCTGCATCATTTGCTTTGAGCACACTATATGCTACCTGCCTGCTAATCCAGCCTACTTCAGTCTAATGGTAATGGCTGCTTATTCACTAACAGATAGTTTTTAGTTAATTTATTAGTGCCGTGTGTGCACAGGCCATGTGTGGGTGTAGGCATGTGTATGAAGGTCAGAGTATAAGTTTGTAGAGTTGCTTCTCTCCTCCGCCTTTATGTGGTTCTGGAGTCGGAACTTGTGTGCTGAGGCTTGTACAGTAAGATTTTTACTCACCAAATAATCTCTCTGGCCCTACTTATCAACGTTTATTTTTGGTATTATGAACAATAAAGCCAAGAGGAAACTAGATGTTTCATATGGTTTGCCTCCACAGAATTTCCCTGCAGATACAGTATATACTTTTTCCATGGAAGTGCTTATATGATGCTTTTTTTTTTTTTTTGTTTTTTTTTTTTTTTTCGATTTTTTTTGAGACAGGGTTTCTCTGTGTAGCCCTGGCTGTCCTGGAACTCACTCTGTAGACCAGGCTGGCCTCAAACTCAGAAATCCACCTGCCTCTGCCTCCCAAGTGCTGGGATTAAAGGCGTGTGCCACCACCACCCGGCAATATGATGCTTCAAATAGCATTAAGTCATACTACTGTCAAAAATATTTTAAATACAAGCCATCAAGTTTGGACCACTTAACGAATAGATAAACTTACGTTGCCTGGAGGTTGATGGAGATTGGTTTCCAAAGTCTGAATTCTGAATGTTGTTATCTAAAATAAAAAGTAATTTCAAAAGACCATCAATTTTATGTTTTATTTGCCCACATATTTTCATTACAGAAAAGAAAACGTAGAGGTCAAGCAGAGGTAGTAGGTGAGGCAGAATAATCTGAATGCTGCTACACTGAAGGCTCCTTCACAGTTACTCACAGCAACACTAATAGAGTACAGAGTGAACATGTAACCACTCAGGGTTGAGAGAAAGCCTGGCAGCTTATTGATTAGGAACGGTAACTCTGGAACAAAGGTGAGAGGGCCAAGAAAATACGAACTCGGTAACAGAAGCATGAAATCATCTGGAAAATGGCTATTTACAAACTGCTACCTGTGAAGATATTGTAAGGAGGAGAGAAATGTAGGTTATGGATTACTAAATTACATGGAATAAGATAGGTCCAAACAAAATTCAATCTTAAATCCTCATTATTTTCTATCTTAGAATGACTGAAATAGTTCCTCTACAAATTCTGACCATTTAAATTCTTAATTTTTTTAAAAATCTTTTTTTTTTTTTAAAGATTTATTTATTTATTTTATTTATGAGTACACTGTCGCTGTCTTCGGACACACCAGAATAGGGCATCCAATCTCATTACAGATGGTTGTGAGCCACCATGTGGTTGCTGGGATTTGAACTCAGGACCTCTGGAAGAGCAGTCAGTGCTCTTAACCGCTGAGCCATCTCTCCAGCCCCCTAAAAATCTTATTAAAACAAAACAAAACAAAAAACTTGTGTCGAGACAATTTCACTGGTACGTTCTCCATTTGCTGTTACATCCATCCACCATGTGCCTGCAGTGACTTTGGTATAGACAACTTCTGAATAGACAAATGATCTTCCTTGTTTTTATGAACAGCTTCTGCTTGAGAAACACTGGACTAGACCACAGGAATAAAGTCAGCACTGCTAAGATACAGGGATTGCCTTGAGTCATCGGACCAGAACACAGAAACAGAACTGAAACAAACAAGCAGGACAAAGTGACACCATGCTAACTCTAAGAGCTGATTTTTTTCAGTTACCAATTCTGCTCATGAAACTTTACTAGAAGCATTTAAATTATGCCATAAGTTACATTGTACTATTAAAAATCAAGCACTAAAAAAGCCCCCAGTACACCAGATGTCCATCTTACAGCCCTTATTACATGGTTGCAGAGATTAACTGGGATACGGCAGTTCTGTGATGTTCTACTTTTTATGATGGATATGACTAGTAAGTATTAGATATATGTTGCACACACTATATATGTAATCCACAGATCACAAACATACTTTTAAGTGTGTTATGTATAAACTGCTGAGGAAGTCTCTCTCTTACTAAAGTCACTAGAAGCAGTTAAGGGAAGTGTGAAAATCTATATAGAGCTTTAAAAGCCCAAAAATTACAGCAGCAGTCACTCCATAGAAGTTAAGAGTTCAGGGCCATGAATCTACCAGTTATTGATTTGTACATATTATAAGTAAGCATTAGCAATTATGTGATAAAAGTTAAAATGTGTTTAACATAAAAGATGCATCATAGTAACTGAGCTAAAGCCACAAGTGTCTCTAAAGGTAGGACAGCTTAAAGTGCAGGAAGTTTGAATTAGCAAGGAGAGGAGCTGGGGCCTAAAGCCCAGGAATTAAAATGTTTCAAAGATTTGATTTCTCTAGACACATTTTAACTACTTTATCACAAGAATGGAAAGAAGTACAGATGGTGACTATATCTTAGCCAGAAGGTTAGGACTGCAGATTGAATTTGACCCGGGACCATTTTATACCCAGGGAACTGGTGCTAACCTGAAATGACAACAGGAAATCAAAGTTCCAGGTTCTATAATATCCACATTTAAAAACACCCCAACCACAGCAAGCAGAAATACGTAACTGAGAGCATGATATGAAACTTAGAATGCTAAGACAAATACGAGAGAGAACAGCCCAGCAGTGAAAGTCACACCTAGGATAAAGCACTCGAGAGGTAGTGGCACGAAGATAAGGAGAAGGCTAGAGCTGGCTATGTGAGACCCTGGCCAAAAACTCAAACAGCAGCAACCAAAACTAAACAAACACACCCGGGACAAGTTAAAAACTATCTTGAATTGAAGAGTAATTATGTAAAGGCTGTTACAAAATCACCATAGGCATCTTTCACTGTTACAAATATTTTCATCCTTTTCTTTGTTCTATACTAAACAAAACTTTGTTAATGGACTAATAATCTTTCTTTCCTTGGTCTAAGTATGTAGCCCAGGCTGTCTTCAAACCTCCTGCTTAGGCAGTCCGTTTATAGGTGTGCCCCACTATGCACAACTTAATGCATGCATATTTCTTGTATGCTGTTTTTCTACAAAACAAAGTTCAGTACAATACCTAGATAAGGTAGTTACAAGTACTTAAGTCATATAAATATACTAATGTAACATGAAGTAGGAATGCAAACATAAAATTCTAAAACATTAACAACACATCTGATGTTAAAAAAAAAAAATGCTAAGCCAGTCATGGTGACTTCATTTCAGGCCAGCCAGGGCTATACAGTAAGACCCTCTCTCACAAATACCAGTGGCAGCAGCACTGCTACATCTGCATCTCAAACATGTTCAACATAATTTTTTTCCTTTTGCAATGAGAAGTGTCTTAGAGAAAATCAAAGGGGTTTTGAGAGATATCATTGAGGTAAAGATAGCGGGGACTGATCTTCTAGAGGACCAGAGTTCAAATCTCACAACAGGTAGCTCACCACTCTAGCTCCAAGGGATCTGTCACCCTCTTCTAACCTCTGAAGGTACTATACTCATGTGTACAAATATAGCACACACACTTCAGTCTCGAGCTGAAGTGACAGTTCAGCAGTTAAGCATACTTGGTACTTTTACAGAGGACCTGAGTTCAGTTCCTGAGACCTACTGCCTATAACTCCAGTTCCAAGAGAACCAAAGCCCTCTTCCAGCTCATGGATAAGCAGGTACACACACATATACACAAATAAAATAACTGAAACAAAATTTAACCTAAAAAAAGTTTTAAAATTCTTCTCTGGTACCATTGGGTACAATTTTTTTTTCTTTTCTATTTATTTCCTTGAATACAATATTACGAATTAAGAAATAACCCAAGAAGCTCTGAATTTTTCATGGCATACAGACTGTAATTACTGTATTTTTTACTTTCAAGTGCTATCTCTTAGGTTTTAATTTTCAATTGGGTGGTGGCACACACCTTTAACCTCAGGAGGTAGAGGCAGATGGATCTGAGTTAAGGTCAGCTTGGTCTACATAGTGAGTTCCAGGACAGCCAGGACCACACAGAGAGATGCTGTCTCTCAAATTTAATAGGACAGAAAACAACATTTCATTTTTTATTTTGGTTAGACATAATTCTAGTATTTGGTTTCCTAAGTACAAGAGGCAATGAAGATGAAATTCTAAGAGGAAATGGTCTAGTATCAGGTATATACAACATTAAAAAGTAACAGCCAACAGTACGGCGAGAGGAAAGGGCATTTTTGTTTTAGGCAGCTAAATAGCTTGTTTAAGAGTAGAATACAGCCTCTACTAAGGAAAAGTGAATTGTAATCATTAGAGATTACCACAATCTCTAATGTGTCAGTCCTTCCATGAGCAACAGATAAACGTGAGGGATTTTTATATAGTCTAAATAAACAGGTACAAGAGGTACTGTGGTTGGATAGGAAAAAAGGGGACAGAATTTCATGTGATGGCACACACCTGTCTATAACCCCAACACTTGAGCAGCTGAGGCTAAATGATGGTGTTCTAGGCAATGTGGTCCATAAACAGTGTCTCAAGCCCCAAAAACAAATGCTGTGGTGTGGGAGGGTGAGGAGAAAAACACCATGCAAGGCAGAAAACAATGGACAGTTTTATACAGCCAATACAGACATAACCAATAATTGACCTGACGATTTCCTCGTTTTGTTCATCTTGGTGACTGAGCCCAGTGTATTATGTATGCTGGCCAAATGCCCTACCACTTAGCTACATCTTCAGCACTACAGTGGATCTATTTCTACAGACATAATGACAGACTGAGTTCAAAGTATGGTCATTTTGTCACATCAATTTACAGATTTTTTTCTTTTCTTTTTTTGTTTTTGTTTTCAAGACAGGGTTTCTCTGTATAGCCTTGGCTGTCCTGGAACTCACTCTGTAGACCAGGCTGGCCTCGAACTCAGAAATCCACCTGCCTCTGCCTCCCAAGTGCTGGGATTAAAGGCGTGCACCACCACTGCCTGGCCAATTTACAGATTTTTTTTTTTTTTTTTTGGTTTTTCGAGACAGGGTTTCTCTGTGTAGCCCTGGCTGTCCTGGAACTCACTCTGTAGACCAGGCTAGCCTCGAACTCAGAAATCCGCCTGCCGAATTTACAGATTTTTAAAAAAGATTTACTTATTAATTTTATGTATATGAGTCACTGTCACTGTCTTCGAACACACCAGAAGAGGGCATCAGCTCAACAAACATTTCTTCCATTCGGTGATGTTTACTCTATCCTAAACATAATCATGAAAATACTATCTATAAATTTTCAGCCTTTATGACATGAAAATAAGGGGCAAAGAAGGTTGCAGTAGAGTGCTTATCTATATGGAGTCCACTAAAACACACAGACACACACTCACACCCACACATCCCCCCCCACACACACACACCCACACACACTCCTGAAGTTATTAAGAGTGCAGCTTCTTTTTCCTGCACAGCTGCTAGCTTCTGAGGCTTAGGAACGCCATCCACTGGTTTTCTCACACCACTTTCTTTGCTGCACTGGCTGCACTGGCAACCTTGTCTAGCAGCCTGAGCTGACCATTAGTACTTACCTGAAGAGCTCAGTATATGGAACGTTAGACAGACAACAAAGTACGACAGGAAAGTGGGGGATCTACTTACATGCCATTCTAGCCCGCATTCTTATAGCTTGGTCAACCCACTCCCGAGGGTTTCTCTGACATCCTGAGGCTGAAGCAAAAAACATAATAAACATATAATTTTATATACTTTCTAAGTTGATATCAAAGTTCAACATATATAATAAATAAAACAGAAAGGGAGAAAGCGAGGAGGAACACATCAAAGGTAAAAGCCTCTGGGATCAGACTAATGACGACAAAAGCCTTCCCTCAGACAGAAATAATCGCTCACCAGACAAAACTATGTAGTACATCTTTACTCTGATCTAACACTGAGTTCAAAACTATTCCATTGGATTCTAATTACATTTAAAAAGAAAAGTTGGGCAATTACCCTCCAAGTAGATCACTAAGGCTAAAACAGCCCTGAGTAGAGTGCCACATCAGAGTAATTATTACATACATGACCACTGTATGATGGACTTAAAAAGCTGAGGTGAAATGATTTAAAATCAAATTACAACTTTATTTATTTGGTTTCTTGAGACAAGGTTTCTCTGTGTAGCCCTGGCTGTCCTAGTCCTCACTCTGTAGATCAGGCTAGTCTCAAAACCCTCCTGTCTTTGCTGGAATTAAAGGTGTGTGTCACCAAGTTTGGCCATGTTAGAACTTGTTATCGGTTGAACAAGGCAGGAAGAGGGCTGACTGAATAGAGAAGAGATTATCAGGCACTTACTCAGCAGTGAAGGCTGATTCTCATGAGCTGGGAAGTTCTGACCTAGAACAGAGAAAAGGAGTGAAGTTAGACAACACTGGGAAGAAAGACAAAACGACCTAACAGCCATTTCACTTATCAAAAACATAAAGAAATCAAATCTAACCCTCTGACCAGTCAAACATATAATAAGTATGTATTTTTTCCCTTAAAAGAAGATTTTTGTGTGCATGTGTATGTGCTAAGTGCTGGTGCCTGCAGAAGCAGAAGGTGTCAGACCCTCTGAAGGTGGAGTCACAGGTGTTCTGAGTTGTCCACCGTGGTGCTAGGAACAGAACTCTGTCCTCTGCAAGCACACTTAACCACTGAGTCACCTTCCCACAATGTTTCCCTTTTTCTAAAGTAGAACTACTTAAAACTGGACGACGACAACCAGCTCTAGGATCATTGCTCTAAAATGGCTGTGCTGAAGATGTGGCAGAGTTCTCCCCTTGTTTATACGAGGCTTCCGTTCTCAGCAAAGGAAAGAAAAGAAAAGCCCACTGACCAACTAACCTGGCTGTGGGGGTCTGAAGGAGGTATCTGTCGTAAATCTCAGGGCAACAGTTAATACTTGGTCCCCAGTTGGCACCACTCGTTGGGGAGGTTTAGAGGGCATGGCTTTCTTGGAGAAGATGCGTCACTGGGGGCAGAGGTTTTGAACTTTTGTGTGTGCTCTCACGGCCTCCTGCTTGCAGTCTGAGACATGAGCTCCAAGCTATTCCTGCTGCCATGCCTTCACTCTGACATCATGGATTTTAACACGGTGTAACTGTAAACCTGAATAAACTCTTCTTCTAGAACACTGGTTTTCAACTGTGGATCGTGATACCCTCCCCCCCACCCTGGGATCTCATATAGGATATCCTTCCTGTATATCAGATATTTACATTATGATTCATAACAGTAGCAAAATTATAGTGATGAAGTAGCAAAATAATTTTATGATTGGGGGTCATAGCATTAGGAAGGTTGAGAGCCACCATTCTAAAAGTTGTCTTGGTCATGGGTATTTTATTATAGAAAAATAATGAAGAAACAGGTTAAATGTATTCTATGTGTCAAGTGCAATTATTTAATTCTTACACCTCACGTGGTAACAACTATCATTCTTTAAAAATAATAAGAGGAAAAAACAGAAATTGACTATTTCTACAAGATTACACATCTAAAAGTAATGGAATTAGGAAACAAATACAGGCAGTAACAACTGCAAACTATGTAATATAGACTAGTATCTGTCATATGCGCAAGCCTGTGGGCACTGCAAAGCTGTGGATAAAGCGAAGGATAAAGTGATGCAACAGGAACAGGTAAATGTCAAAATATGCCTGGAAAAGCTCAGTTATCCACTGAGGAGTAGGAAGCATGTCAGTATTTACAAAAATTTACTTTGGACAGAAATGCAACCAATATATGCTTGTACTAGCTAGTTTTAAGTCAACCTGATACAAGCTAGGGGTTAACTGAGAGGAGGAAACCCCAATTGAGAAAATGCCTCCATAAAAACTGGCTATAGACAAGCTTGTAAGGCATTTTCCTAATTAGTGATTTCTGGTGGGAGGGCTCAGCCCACTGTGGGTGGTGCCATCCCTGGGCTGGTGGTCTTGGGTTCTATAAGAAAGCAGGAGGAACAAGCCATGAAGAGCAAGGCATAAGCAGCACCCCTCCATAAACATATACTCTAACCCTAACCCATAGCTCCTGCCTCCAGGTCCCTACCTTGGCTTCTTCCCTCAATGTGCTGTGACTCTGGATATGTAAGCCAAATGAGTCCTTTCCTCGCTAAGTTTCTTATGGTTGTGTTTCATCACAGCAATAGTATTCCAACAAGAATGGGCTTATTTAAAACAACATCCTTAAAAAAAAACAAAAAACAACAACAATAACAATAAAAAACTGGACACATAGCCAGACCTGGAGGCACAGGTCTATAATCCAAACTACTTAGGATACTGAGACAAGAAGATTGCAGGGTTAAAGCTTGCTAGGGCAATTCAGTGTGACCCTGTCTCAAAACAAAAAGTAAAAATGGGTGTGTGTATGTGTGAAAATAATGGACATGTACACACACACACTCTCTCATTTCAAATACTAAAAAAGTACTTTTTAGAAAATGTGTTTGCATCTAGTAATATACCTCAAGTAAATAGATTTTCTCCTTATTGATACAAAACAAAACATGGCAACTTAGAGTCAATGAAATATTTTCAAAAAGGAAATGGCTCAATTCTTGAAATTTAATTTAAAAATAGAAAAAGAAGAAAACACTATTATTTTGCTTAACCCAAGGAACGTATATTCGTTACAGATTATCCACAATAGAAAACAGTAACATTAAGAAAACTGTTGAGAGTGAGTTCCAGGACAGCCAGGACTACACAGAGAAACCCTGTCTCAAAAAAATCAAAAAAAAAAAAAAAAAAAAAAAACCAAAGAAAAGAAAATTGTTGAATTGGGGTATAGCAAGGTGATACAATGCTTGCCTAAAAAGTGCTTAAAAACCTGCTTCAACTCTTAATACCCCTAAAAAAATCAAAACCAAATGTTACTAGTGATCATTGTTACCTTTATCTTAAAACACTACTTCTAAAATTTTATAGTCTGTCATCTCAACAACAAAGATGAAAAACTACAAAGCTATAAGACTCACTATCAGTGAACAAACTAAAAACAACCAACAACTTAATGGTATAAACAAAGACACAACACAAACAGGAAGTACAGGGCTGGTCTTCTGACAGGCAGACCTAGGAACTTGCACTACTTACTGTGTGGTAATCCCCACGGTGATTCTGGATGATGACAAGCTGCTTGGGCAGCTTCATCTAAAAAACAAAAAGCATTTGAAGCATCACTTTCCAGTGCCCGTTTTATGAGAGAAAAATGAGTAATGAAAAGAGTGAGACAGATACACTACAGGCAATAACCTGGAGTGCATGACTTGCTTTTAAAACCTTCTCAGCCTGCAAATTGTACCACACATATCTTCTTTTACATGACATGAAAGCAGAAGGAAGAACTATTTGCAAGGAGGAAAGGATCAAGCGGAAGTGGAGGTGTACAAGACAGCAGAAGACCGAGCCCACCGACATTCCAGCACAGACTGGGGAGGGGCTCAGGACACTACCTTGCAGGAGGACCTAATAGGCAGTTAACAGTTGCTGAGGAAGGGCAGTCATATCCTCAGTGGTGTAGCCACTGGTAAGTTACCCTTGAGGGATATACCCTCAAATAATAACCTCCCATTCACCTCTACTTGTTCAAGCAGCCCTGGTTAAAGGGAAGTGGGGGCACAGACTATAAACCAAGTAGGAAGGGGACTTGTTGGGGAAAGTTTAGCAGGAGGCAGAGGGAATATGGGAAAGGATAAATGGGGGAATAGGATTAAACATTTCCTACAATTTAATTGTGAAAGAATAAAAACATGTTTTAAGAAGGATGAGGGATGTAAGAGGGAAATGAGGGCAGCTAAGAACAATGTGTGAAGATGTATATGTGTGAAAATACAAAAACAAAAAACCTGTATACGCTAGCAGATAAAAAAAAGACCAGTAAACTGATGATGGAAACTGGGTGCCATGGTGCATGTCTTTAATGCCAGACTGTGGACAAGGGTGGGTCTGAAGCAGGGGGATCAATAACGTAAGGTTAGCCTGTGCTATACAGGATATCCCCTCTAATAAAATAAAATAAAATAAAATAAAATAAAATAAAATAAAATAAAAATAAAATACCCTTCCCCTAACAAAAAAAGGATGGAGGGAAAATAAGGGAAGGGGATATACAAAGCCAACTTTTGAGCTTTACATTTTCCCCCCACTGTGGTCCTGGGAACCAATCAGGGCTTCCCACACAAACGTGAGGGACGTACTCACCCCACTTATTTAAGTTTGGGCCTGGAACTTGCTATCTAAACCAGATTGGCATGGAACTCTCAGAGATCTACTTGCCTCTGCCTCTCAAGTGAGTGCTGAGATTAAAAGTGTGTGCCACTATACTCTGCCTCATGAAAAATATTGATGTAAATCATGAGAAGTACAGACATTTCCATGAGGTGGTATTTTTGTGGGTTAAAAGAGTTACCCATTTATGGAGTTTACAAATTAGTCTAGCATCTTCTTAAGCTTTAAGTTTCTCTATCCAATCAACTCTTTTTTTTTTTTTTTTTAAACTGGAAACTCTTTTTTTTTTTGTTTGTTTGTTTGTTTGTTTGTTTTTTTTGTTTTTCAAGACAGGGTTTCTCTGTGTAGCCCTGGCTGTCCTGGAACTCACTCTGTAGACCAGGCTGGCCTCGAACTCAGAAATCCACCTGCCTCTGCCTCCCAAGTGCTGGGATTAAAGGCGTGCGCCACCACTGCCCGGCCACACTGCCATTCTTAAACAACAAAATCCCCTGTGCTATCTACCATGGATACGACTCTGACTTAAAGACCAGGTAGTTATCTAATACTACTAAAAGTCCTGAAAACTGAGCAATACTCCTGAGATTGCTGAGTACCAATGTGATCAATTTCTCAAAATTCAAAACCAGGAAGTAATTCTTGAGCATAAATTATCTTTCCATAAATGCCCAAGCCAGCTAAAAGTGCTACCTGCTACATGGCACAGTGGAAAGAGTAATTATAGTGGACTAAGAATATAACTCTAAAATTGATTTTTAAAAATGTTTTAAGGCTGAAAAATCACTTAAAACTTTATTTAACTACAAGATAGCTCTGTGAGAAGAGTCACACACACATATAAAGCAACATTACCTCTAGCCTCAAGAGAATCCCTGGATCTGACCCTGAGAGTCATATCACTGTAAGAGCTCTCGAGATCATCTTCGGTCTCTCCTACAAGAAGGCAGACAATGCACAGTACAGTCTTTATGGTCATGTTCAAAAGCTCCAACTCAACACAGGCTAATGCTACAGTGCAGCTCCGCAGTGTCCAGTACATGCCTGCTGTTTGTTTACTAGACTCCTGTTTGGAATAAGTTCTAAATGAGTCACAGTTAAGCTCCTGTATTTCTTTCAGCCACATAATTATTACTTCCTATACAAATAATGTCTAAAAACCATTCACGGAGGCTTTAATGTAGAGTCCAAAATGAACAGATTAATCAGGGAAATTTTTAGCTTATGGCAAGAAACTACAAGTAAACTGACTATAATTTGAGACATGACTAATGTCGGCCAGCTGGTGACTTTTTCCATGGATAATGTACACATATTCACAAATATGTCAATATCCAAATGACTAATTTCAAATATACTGCCTTAAAAATGAACTAAATTTATGCTTGTATTTTCATAAACTAGTCATAAGAATTTCAAAGTGATGGTTTTAATATCACAATCAAAGATTAACATATGCTAGAAGTGTCAAGTATTAGCTTTCCTTAAACCTGAACAGCTAAATATGCTTAAAAGGATGTAAAGGCTTCCCTCCTCCGTTCTATCCAAATGTATCTTGCTTTATCATAATGTGCACTGGCGTGGTTTTTGTCTTATTTTAAGAAAAATACTTTTCTGATCTTCTCTCTTAAATACCCAGCAAAATTGTTTCTAATATAAAGAAAGACAATGTATGACATGACAGTTAAAAAATTACCTTCTTCAAAGAAATTGACCTGTTGGACAACGGTAGCTTCTAGAAGAGAAAGACATAAAAATATATAACATCAAAAACTAAAGCTTAGAAAAAAAAAAAGAGCATGTGACTAAGGAAAATCAACACAAAATACAAAAGGAAATGCTTTTTTCTGTAAGATAACTAAAACTCTATCATTTCCCTTAGAAATAAATCTGACATAAACTCGTATTACAAAAAAATGCTTTTATTGAAATTTTAAATGTATATTTGTGTGTCACGTGTGTGCAGAAATGATGAGTTATTGGTTCCCCTGGAGCTGGAGTAACAGGCAGTTGTTAAGACATGCACATGGGTGCTGGGTCTCAGGTCTTCTGTAAGAACAGTAAGCAATTTAATCATTGAGCCATATCTCCAGCCCCAAATAAAAGGCATTTATTTAATTTTTTTGAGATAGGGTCTTACTACTTATCCCTGACTAACCTAGAACTCACTATGTAGTCCAAACTAGCCTTGAACTCACAATGGTCTGCTTGTCTCCAAAGTGCTAGAATTAAAGGTGTATACCACCATGTTAAGTTTTTGTATGTCTTCTTTTTTTTTTTGGTTTTTCGAGACAGGGTTTCTCTGTGTAGTCTTTAGCTGTCCTGGAATTCACGCTGTAGACCAGGCTGGCCTCCAACTCAGAAATCCACCTGCCTCTGCTTCCCAAGTGCTAGGATTAAAGGCATGCGCCACCACTGCCCGGCAAGATTTTATAAAACATATACTTTTAAAAAATACTTATTTTCACTGAAGTGTATGTGTAAAAGTGCCTGCAGAGGCCAGAAGAGGGCACGAGAGCCCCCACAGTTGCTGTTGTGAGCTGCCTGACATGGTGCTGGAGGTAAACTCTGGTCTACTAGAAGAGTAAGCATTCCTCAAAACCAATCCTTCTCGTTCCAGGGCTTTAATTGTTTTGTTTTGTTTTGTTTTGAGGCAGAATTTTAGACAGCCCAGGATCACCTCAAATTTACTATATAGTTCAGGTTGGCTTTGAACATCTCATCCTACCATAAATCTATCTCTTGAATGCTGGCTTTGCAGGTGGGTAAAACTATACCTGGCTAAAGACAAAATTTATTTTTTCCTTTCACAGGCCTGTTGGTACTCTAACTATAACTTGTGTGCAGAAAACATTACATTGTACATTGACAAACACTTCAGGTTCCTACAGGTCCCACAGTTTACACATTCCAGTTCTCCCATTTACCAGACTCTCTCTACTTCCTTCAAAAGCCTAACAAGCTGAAGGAACAAAAAAGTCCTTAGTACACTGGTGTGAGGAAGTATGAACAGAAAGAACAAATTCCCTTTTTTAGTTCGGCAGGTGATGTACATCACTATTCTTCAAGAATGAGGAAGTTAAAGACAATCAAACATATTAACCGAACTCTAAGACTCAGGGTTTTCACATGGGCTTTTATGATGCTTCTATTTTCTTGTTCTCTGATCCTTTCTCTCCCTCCCTTTCTCCCTCTCTCCCTTCCTCCTCTCAGTTCTTCGAAATGGTTTCACTGTGTAGTCCTGGTTGTTCTGAAACTCACTCTGTAGACCAGGCTGCAGCAGACTCAGAGAGCTGCCTGCCTCTGCCTTCTAAGTGCTGGGATTAAAAAGGGTGCACCGCCACCGCCCAGCAGTTTGTCTTTTTCAGTAATGGAAGTTAAGCATAACTCGGCAAAAATACCAAATAAAACTGTAGAGGAATAGGATGACTCAGACTGTATAGAACCGGGGAAATATTTTTTTTCAACTTTTGTCTCCCTCTGCTTTTTAAAGGGCATAAAAGCTTTCAGCATCCCAACAGTGTTTTCTGCCAAACCTAAGCAAAGTCAACTGAAAGCCATAAGGAGACCCCAGGAATGCAACAGTGGTTATGGTAGGAGGCTGAAAACACAAAGCTTGTAGACTAGCCACTTCGTTTTTCTTTCCTTTGTTATGGTGCTGAGGACTGAACCTAAAGTACATGGCTAGGCAAAGCACTCTACAGATGAGTTAGCCTGCACTCTGCCTCAAGTTCCCAAACCAGACACGGTCTAGAAAGTAACCACGGGGTCCTGCAATACTTCCTGTAACCAGTGAGGTTCATTTCATAACAGCCGAAGTGGGCCTGTCTGTCTGTAAGTTTCTTTTTGCTCTTTACCATGACATATACATCCTGGATTGTTAACAGTTGTAATGCTCCAATAAACTCTGTTTTTGAGAGTTGATTTTCATGTTACTCACTTTTGGCTGATAGATGGAAGTATGATTTCAGAATGTGATTCTAAACATTATATTATGAATTTGGAATTTTTTCAGATCAATTTAATTAAGTTAGTATAATATTAGTCAAAGTTTAAAGTTCTACTGAAAATAGTGGAAGTTATAAATCAACATCTAAAATATACCTGTCAACATTTTTGCTAGGAAACAGAAAACCAACCACTCCGAGAAACTTGCCAATAGCATCCTGTTTCTCTCAGACAGCTAATCTACTGTTTTAGACTAGGTGCCCCAGGATTGATTCTTCATTTTCTTTTTTAAAAAAGTAAAATGCAAAATTGCTAGCATGGTGCTGCACAACCAAGATTCCAGCATTCAGGAGTGGCTCAGGCAGGAGAATCCCAGTGAGTTTGAGCCAGCCTATGCTATACAGTAAGACTCCAGTTCAAAACAGTCTCTCTCCCTCTCCTTCTACCTCCAGTGATTTTTACTGTTGGTTTTTTTTTTCTTTTTCACTACCTAATGTATTCCTGAGATACAGAAAAGAGAAAAAAAAAAACAACCTTATAGCTTTTTGTGGTTCTAGCATTTATTTAGGTCAGCCATTGACATAGGAAGTGGTTAAAAAGAAGTTTGTTCAAACATAGCAACATAAGAAAAACAGTTTGAGACTAGTTCTAACAAATCAGAGTCCATACAAGGTTTTAGGCATGCTGTCTTGCATCTATCTACCTACCTACCTATCTATCTATCTTTGGAGACAGGGTTACAGGGCCTTGCTGCACGCCCATTTGGTCCTCCTGTATCAAGCCTCTGAAGTGATCGGGACTATACGTGTGTGCCTGGCTCATTTTCATCTTTTTAATGGAAATTACAAGAATATACAGTCTGGGCTAAAGAGACGGCTCAGTGGTTAAGAGACTGGCTGCTCTTTTAGAGGGCTGGTTCAGTTCCCAGCTCCTATATGGTGACTCACAACAAGTAACCCTAGTTCCAGGAAAGCTGATGGCTCTTCTGACTTCCATGTGCACCAGGCATCTATCCATACATGCTGGCAAACACTCATATGCATAAAATAAAAATAAATGTCTTTAAAAAAAACAAGACAAAAAACCATGACAAATCCGCAGCATCTGTTCTGCTGACAGAAGACTTCCTGCTTTGACGTCACTTCCCTATTACTCAGGTTCCTTCCTTTCTTTTCTAAGACAGTCTTACTTAGTCCAAGCTGCTGGCCAAGAATTCTAATGTAGCTCAGACTGGTTATGAATTTGTAGCAATCCTGTTTCACACTGCTTCCCCACCCCCACCCCAAGTGCTAAGATTACAGTCATGTCCCCTTGCTAAATAGAGAATTTAAGAAACTCACATGGAAGTCAGGCATGGTGGCAAGTCTGTAATCCTAGACTCAGAAAGTGGAGTTAGGAAGACCATGAATTCAAAGTCATTCTCAGCTATATAGCGTTCTTGAGGCTAGTCTGGGCTACATGCGACTGTCTCAACAAAACAACCCCCCACCCCAAAAAATCAAAAGAGAAACTCTTGTAAGTAAAAGCATATCCGATAAGGTACACACTGTAAAGTTCTTCGTAGTATCCAGAAACTAAAGATGCTGAACTGTAAGAACCAGTCCAGGCCTAGGTAAAAATAAGTTTAATAGAGAAAGTTGTAACTATGCACTTATAGAGAAAAATTAAATATTTTTGTCTTAAAATTTAAAATGAATTTCAACCACATCCAACACAGGTTTATGTAAAGCTAAGATGGCTTTGATCTCCTGGTCCCCTTGCTTTCACCTTTCAAGCACTGAGACTATGGCAGGAGCAAATGGGCCCAGTTAAAGCTACAGACTTTATTGCTCTATTTCCTCATTTGCATATGTGTGTACAGGCCTGTGCAGCTGTCCACGTGCACGTGGAGACTAGAGAAAGAGAATCCATGTCTTCCTCTATTGTTCTCTGCCTTATTCCAATCAGACAAGGTTTCCTCCTAAACCTGAATTTGTCATCTCAGCTTGGCTGGTTAGCCAGGAAGCATCCAGATCCACCTGTCTCCAGGTTACAGGGGGTTACAGACACTGAGGCCACGCCTGTCTTTTGTGTAGGTGCTGGAAATTTGAACTCCACACTTCAGGTATGCAAAGCAAGTACAAACCACACCCCTAGATCCCTAAAACCAGATCGTGAAACCTCATGATCTACATCAAGGCAAACACTCAAAATAATTTAAATTAGAAAAACAAAACTGAACGAAACCAAGGGCACGTTTTTATGGAGAGAAAAAAAAACAAACCTCACTTTTCTACTCAGTATAAATTTAACAAAGGCTCATAAAAAAAAAACCTTGTTAGCACATTTCTGTAATTCAACTTGGGAAGTGGAGGCAGGAGGATGAATAGTTTGGGGTTATCTACAGCTACAAAGTTGAGACCAGTCACAATACATGAAACTGTTTTTCAAGAAAACAAATCAAAAACAAAACACTATCAACAGAAAAGGAACAAAACAAAAAACCAAGAAGGTTGAGAGGAGGTGGCCAAGTGACAGAACACTTGACAAGCCAGTGTCAGGCCATGGCTGACTCCTTAGAGCAACACAAAAGGACTTTATTATTATGCATTCTCACAGGAATTCAAGTAATAAGACTTAATTTTAGACAGAATAAAATCTAATTAACTACAGTGGGGCATCACACTAACCCATAAGCTGAGATAATGAACAAAGTAAAACTCTCAAGCCAACCATAAAATACACACACTTATGCATTTTGCTGCTAAGAATCCTCCATAAAAACCTCTAAGAATTAGAGAAAAACAAACCTCTTTCACTCATTTTAGCATTTCCATTTGTTTGATATGTTGAATCTGTAAGAGACACAGTAAGACAACAATTAGAGCTGAAAGAGAATGCATCATGCAGCTCCTTACTGCAGCTCTTGGAGATTTTAGCCTGGTAAAGGGAGCGGCTGAGGTGCAGCACAGACTGGCAGAAAGGACCACAGGCAGAAAGCAAAGCGAAGAAGACTGCACAGATTAGCTCAGTAGCTTCCTGTCACGGTTGTGAAACTGACTTAAAGACTTCCAAGGTTTTAGTCCAGAGGAAATGTAGCCAAGGCACATTACATAGCTCCATGCCACAAGTCATTGTCTTTTATTTGTCTTTCTAATTAATAATATACTGAGAAACCCGCCGACCTTAATTTGAAAGAATCACGCATGGACAGAAGCTCTGTAGCACCATGAAAGAAATAACCTTTTAAAAACAAAGTGGAGCCCTTTTACACACACACCAGTATGCAAAGATTTCTTTGATACGTGTGGAAAATGAAATGGAAACAAAAGGAGGTGCACAAGAATATTCACTGACCCAAGATTCATGTTTTAAAGAGAGACGGGCAGTTGACATAGCTCTGCTAGAAAGCTTGCCTAGTGTGTGCAAGGCTCTGGGCTCAAGCCCCAGCACTGCCAAAACGATGCAGGTGAGATAACTATCTCTGGAGACTAAGCTGACACTGGTCGCTCCTGATGTTAGGGTAAGGTGGACAGAACAACGGATGAAGAAAGACTTCACTAGTCTCACGTAGCTCAGGCTGGCATTAAACTCCCTTCGTAGCCAAGATGACCACAGTCTCCCAATCGATCCTCCTGTCTCCAGTTATTACAAGTGTGCACCACCTTGCCTAGCCAGGCTTGAGCCATATGAATACATGTTTCCTCTAGAACATACATTGTATTTATAAGAAGAGTTAAATCAACACAATAATCTCTTACCAGGTCTTGGGCTTCTTAATGGGGGTCTGCATAAGTTACTTATAGGGTCTTCACTCATCACTGGTATAGGAAGAAAAAATATGTGAAACATAAGATTTACTATGTAATCATCCTCATCTGGTCAGGAAAGTTTCCTAAACTTTGATTATGGTTGAAAACTAAAGGCAAATTTTCTCTAAGGGACAGCTTCTTGTTAACTACTAACAACAGTAAACTAGAGTGAATTACCTGGTATTCTATATACCTGAAGAAGAACTTTTTCACAGTAGACCTTATTGTACTAAAGACAATGAATAGTAAATAAAATTCTTCTACACTGTTCAACCAAGTCATGATGGTGTATTATGGGAGGTAGAGGTAGGAGGATCAGGAGTTTGATGTTAGGTTATCCTCTACCACACAGTAGGGCTGAGTATCAGCTTAAGACTATGTGAGGCCCTGTCCCCCAAAACCCAAAACTATTAACAGCCAAACTGTGGGACTAGAGATGTAGCTTCTCTTCTCCAGTCTATACTAAGCCCTGGGTTGGATTCTCAGCATGCTAAAGCAGGGTGAGGTGGGGGACCAAAATATACACGGTATCATCAATTTGATTATCTCTTCATGTGTGAAGCTGAACTTTGCTTTTTTTTTTTGAGCTATGTCTGATTTCATAGCACAAGCAGGCCTTAGATTGGAGGAACCCTTCTGCCTTGGCTTCTCAAGTGCCAGGATCATAGACATGTGTTATCACACAAAATTTGTGATATATTTTTAGAGTCAACTTCCTAAAAGTTAACATATACTCTTCAACTATTTAATCTTGTATATGTCCAATGGAAAGATTAGCTTTAAATGAAATACTAACGCTTGCCATGTTTCATTTCAGATGCTCTGAGTTCAAAGGTATAGTTGTTTTTTTTTTTTTTTTTTTTTTTAGGTTTTTCGAGACAGGGTTTCTCTGTATAGCCCTGGCTGTCCTGGAACTCACTCTGTAGACCAGGCTGGCCTCGAACTCAAGAGATCCACCTGCCTCTGCCTCCAAAGTGCTGGGATTAAAGGCATGTGCCACCACCGCCCGGTGAGGTATAGGGTTTTTAAAAAAGCCATTTAAAACACGCTGGTTTTAGTCAAGAAAATTATGTATAAAAATTCGTTTTCTCAGGCCAATAGGCTAGCTCAGTGGGTAAAGGTACTTGCTGCCACGTCTGACAACTGGAGTTCAATACCCATAAATCATGTAAGGACAGAGGAGAATGTACTTCACAAGGTTTTCCTCTGACCTCCACAAGTGTTCAGTGGCACCCATACACACATCACAGACACACAAGAAAAACAAACTTTGGGGAACTAATAAAAATATCCTGTCTCCCTGTTACAGTGATTCTAAGACAATTTTTACTACATTTTAAATATCTCTGATGTCACATACTATATAATTATGGCATCTTAACATAAATTACCAGGAAATTGGCAGGAAATCTGTTCTCCTTTAGGTGGTACAGGAAGCAATGATGTCGCCCCACCTTACAATTGATACCCTGGATTCACAGAAACACAGCACTAAGCCGACAGAACTGAAACTCACTGTGCTAGGGTTTTACCATGCAGAAACAGCCAAGCAGAAGGCACTGTGACATAACCATTTGACACTATGAATTATGACTTCACTGAAAGTGAATATTTGGGGAAGATGAATAGGTTTCAAAAAAGACAAACCTGAGCCTGAATGTTAATTTACTCATGTATCACGTGATCTTAGAAAAGTCTTAGATACTCTGAACTTCAGTTTTCTCATCTATTAAGGGGGTAGAATACTCCCTGCAAGGTTCTGAAGATTAACAAAGTAGCCAATAGTTGAACTTACATTTAACGTTTTTACCCTTGTCTATCCTAGGAAGTACCCATATGGCTCAACTTTGTGAAATGATAAGACTCACAAAACTCTTGTGATGGATTGATTGATTAGTGTTTTTCCAGACAAGGTTTCTCTGTGTAACACCCCTGGCTATCCCAGAACTCTCTTTGTAGACCAGGCTGGCCTTGAACTCATAGAGATCGCCTGCCTCTGCCTCCGATGTGGTGGGATTAAAGTCCTGCACCACCATGCCCAGCTTGAGTTGTGATTCTTGAGTCTTTGGCAGAAAAAGAGAAAACCAAAAAACCAAACTATTCTTACCTGAAGTCTCTGGTGTTCTAACAGTTTTCTTTGAGACTGTTTGGCTTCTAACAGGTTGGGAAGAAGGTTCATCCTCTATAGCACAGACAAAAGATAAAATTCAAGTTAGATAACCTGGGAGAGATCATGGCACAGAGTATATATATTTAATAGTAATCCATAAACTGTAAAAGTACTCAATTTCTCTAGGTTAAAAACTTGGGAATTAAACTAGTTAAAAATCTTATTAAGATACAGTACTCTGAGGTCTGGAGAGGGTTCAGTGTTTAAGAGCGTTTGCTGCTCTTTCCAAGGAATTAAGTATTCCAGCATACCAGTCCAAAAGGCTTACAATATTCTGTAGCCTTCAGCTCCAATGGACCCAACACCACCTTCTGGCTTCCAAGGGTACCTGTACACAAATGTGCATATACTCACACAGATACATGCAGCTGTACACACATATAAGTTAAACAATATATAAACCACCAAATGTTGCTTTACAACAAAATGTTACTTTAGAAAGTTAAAAAGGTAGGTTCAAGATTCAAAAAATGGTGTGGATTCAGTAGGTAAAAGAAATGTTTAAATCATCTAAAAAATGTACTAAAAAGTAAAATGTATTTAGGTGCAGGAGGCTCTGTGGCAAAGTCAATAAAAGGTAACATAATTACATTGCCTCCCATGTGCAAACACTGCCTCAGATTCTGAGAATTTAGATACCCAAGTATCTAAATTATGACCAGGCATACATGCATGAGAGGTTCCTTTTTTTCAACCTTGCCATCATAAAATAAATACTATTGGCATGTATAAGCAAATAAGCTGTCTCGTTACATCCAAAAGAATGTGCACATCTCTAGCGTGAAGTTTCCAAAACCAACAGATCTTCAAGTGTGTCAGGATTTTAAGGGCAAGTAGGTAAATCTGCAAGCCCTTTACTGTGCTCTAAGCTGAGAATCTACTCCTTTTTAGACACACCAGATGTCTACCATTATTACCGAGGTCATCCCACTGTGACTCTACCCTCATAATTTTACTTCATAATTACATGGGGCTTACTGGAAACCACCTGTGGCTCAGTTATATCCGAGAGCAGGGAATGGGAGGATGGTTTGAAGAATTTGTTTCATCTGTGACTTAACTAAAACTATAGTACACACCCCTGTCGGCATTTGGGGCTTCATGTAGAAGAAGCTTGCCTTAATAAATAGACCGTGGTTTTGTTTCGGTACTTTGTCAGCCTTGATTTGTTTAGCTACTTAAGGTTACAGTGATGGCCTTCAATCTGGGGGAGAGTCTGGCAAAGATCAGACTGTATATTTGGAGTAATGTCACCAATTCATTAAAGCTGGCTATTCCTCATAGCATCTGCCTAGAAAATATCTCATTTTCCCAATCTTGGTGAAAAAAAGAAACCGACTGTAAAGTTAACTTAAAACCAGGATTTTCAGCTGGGGACTTGGGGCCCCCGAGATTTAAAAAAAAAAAAAAAAGGAAATGGAAGTGGCTTCAGTAACCTCAGAGGGGACGGAAATGAAACCGAGCGCAGAGTAATTTGGGGCTCCGACAATGGCTTAGTCGCCGAACTCTAGCAAAAGCCTACAGAAAGAGGAGACCTAGACACCCCTAGACATTCCTGATGCTCAGGAATGAGCAGAGCGCCCCACCAGCGCTCGGGTCACTTCGCACAACACCATCCTTTCGGCTCAGCGCGTCCTTCCCTCTTGAGGGTCCGAGTGGACTCAACCCGGGAGTGCGCGCCCAATGGGCCGCAGAATCACCACTACTCTGGCAGGGCCGGCCTCCTTAGGGGCGCGCCTCCCGCCGCGTGCGCCCGTGCCCGCCATCGCGCGCGCGCTCCCGAGCAGCTGAGACTGTTACCTCTGCGGTCCTCGCTTGAGGACTGAGAGTCCTGTAACCCTCGTCCGCTCGTAGTCGGAGACAGCTGCGGCTGCTGTGAGTGCTGCTCAAGACGAGTAGACCTCCGCGTCTTCATCTCTTCGGCTTCCTGAGGCCCCTGCTGCCTCCGTTGTCGAGACCGAAGATTGTAAGTGCTTTCTCTCACTTCCTCTTTCGCAGAATCCGGTCGGAACTTTTCTGGCGGGGTTCGTCTCCTCCCCGGAGACCTTTCTTTGGCCGCCCGGGACTCGAAGTCGCCGTACACTTCTGGCGGCTCTTCTGAAAACCTCACTTCCCGTCGTCCGTGGCGCGACGGATGAGTTCCGTACGCAGGCGCGTCACTGCCGTCGCCATTTTGAGGGGCGAGCCTCTGTCTTCCCTCCCGGATGGGGGCTCTGGGTGTGACGTAGATGGCCCATCCTTCTCCCAGCCCCTCGGCCTGCCACCTCTCTCCCGCCATAGTTGTTTACGTAGCTGGTAGTCCGTAGTGGGGATGAGTTTGCCGCGGCTAGATGCCTCTAGGTGGTGGCGATGGCTTCGGCGATGTTGTCGCAGTGGTCAGGGAGGCAGTTGAGAGTCTCCGGGGCTGCCGCCTGCGTCCTCGCTAGTGTGCCACAAACCAGCCCCGGGGCCCATGGTGTGTCCTAAGGGCTGTGGGAGAGGCAGTGCCCGAGCTGGGTCAGCTGCTGTGGGTCACTCCCGCCTCCTGGCTGGAAGCACCAAAGAGGAGGAGAAGGGGGAGGAGGACGTCTCTGTCCTGGGCCTTGAGGGAGGGGAAGGTGGGGGCGACGAGGAGGTGGTAGGGCAAATGGCCCATGCCAAGCTGCTGGTGGCCAGTTGCCCACCACAGGAGGCGCTCGCTGGTCCTGGCTTAGGGAAAGGGCAAGTTTCAGTCCTTGATCCCAAGCTGTTGCGCAGTTTCCCTGCTACTTTGGCCACTCCTTTTCAAATGTCCCTGGGAGGAGAAATGATCAGAGAGAGAATTTTGCATGTCATCTTATGGCGAAAATTATAGTTTCAAGCACCTTTATAAAACTGCTTTTACCCATTTTAAAATTTTAACTCACCTGTGGGCCCTTTAAAATCGTGTTTAATTATACTCTTGGGGTGGATTTCCATTTTTGAATCGTACTCAAAACAACCTTATTCCTGAACTTTTACGTGAAAGTTCTGATTCAGCAACACTGTTGGGAATGCTGAATGCTGCCTTAGACACAGTATGAAATGATTAAAGATGGCAGGGTAATTTTGAGAGCCATCTTTTACTTCGATTCTGGATATGGTATTTCTGTATTTCATTTAGAGTTTCTGTATTCACAGAATACGAAAACGTGATCAAAACCTTCAGCTCTGCATACCATATTTACAAGTGTGTAACAAAATTTAGACAAACTGAAGAAGAAAGGTTGGTTTACTTGTAAAGTCTTGAGTTACTCCCGGAAGACTTTGTATGATATAAATGAATGCACACACTTCCCCACTCCCACAAATACTGGGGACTGAGCCTAGTGCTTCAAGCTTACTTGGCATGTGGTTTACCAGTAAGCTATACCCTAGCCCTAAAAGAGTAGATTTTAAGTTTTTATTTGGAAGTCACGTAACAATGATTTTGAAAAAAAAAATAAAGTATCTGCCTTTACCAGTTATTTTAAATAATGACCTTAAATTGTTACTCAGACAAATTCCCAGTTACTGGAATTTTCACTAATAGTCCATAAATTTGGTCAGTAACACAGAATTAGATGACTCAAGAGTCAGGCAGGATATATCCTGTTTGGAGCTTCATTTAGCATTGTTTATTAAATACAAAGAAATATAGCCAAAGAAACTAGAGGAACCATAACAAGACAGCTGCCCTTTTCGTGTGTGTGTGTGTGTGTGTGTGTATGTGTGTATGTAAGAGAAAAGAGAAGGGGGGGGGGCGTGTGACATATCTTACCTATCCTGGAACTGTAGACCAGACTGGCCTTGGGCTCACAGAGGTCCATTTGCCTCTGCTCCCCAAATGTAAGTTTAAAGGTGTGGGCCACCACACTTGGTCCCACTTCTTTAAAAAACTTTGAAAGGAAAAATGAAAATGATTCTCATTCATGATAGCCTGAAATATTTGTGAGACTTTTTTCTACAAAATGCTAAAAAGAACTGATATTTGGTAATGTCTGCTTGTGTCTTTTCCAGTAATGCTTTCTTTGTAAAGTGCCTCTTTACACAATTAACAGTCACAAAAAGATTTTAATAATGTACAGCAACGAAAGGATATAAATTTTATAGTGTTTATATTCTAAACTCATAATGCAGTGTGTGCAACAGATGACTAAAGACACCTGGGAGTTGGCTTGTAAAACTCTGGTTTGAAGGATACACTGAAAAAGAAAGTAAAGAGGTTCTATACATAATTGGATAATCAGAGAAAATGAGAGGTTGCAGAGGTTATTGGGTAATTGGCATATGTTTTGTAATTAAAAGTACTTATAACGTAGTTTTATGAGTGGCTTTTTCAAACAAAAATTAATAAGGATGTTAAAGTTTAGAGGCAGTTAACTTCAGCATTAGCATAGATTTGTTTAGGATTTTCCCTGTTGCCTAGGTCATAGGAATGTGTCATCTTAACTCTGGCAGCTGACACCCACACCTAGCAACTTTGCAAAAACCAAACTTGGATTACTATGAGTTAAAGCCAAATTCTTGTCAAACCAGATATTCTGCTGTAGGTGTTTTCCAACCTCTTTTGGGCCAGCTTTGTATACGAAAAGAGGTAACATTATAGACAGTAGATTCATCTCCAGTATTATGAGATTTTTCCGGACTGTAAGTGTGGCAGTCTGAGCTTTGAACAAAACAGTTTCTTTGGGAATTAGAGAAATGTGGAAGAATGAGGAGTTATACTTAGAGAATTTTCAGTATGCTAGAGAAGACAGATCACAAAAAATAAAATTGAAATTACTGACTGGTGGGCTGGAGAGATGACTCAGTGGTTAGAGCACTGACTGCTCTTCCAGAGGTCCTGAGTTCGGTTCCCAGCAACCACATGGTGGCTCACAACCATCTATAATGGGATCTGGTGCCCTCTTTCTTGTGTGTCTGAAGATAGTTACAATGTTGTCATATACATAAAATAAATAAATCTTAAAAGAAAAGAAATTACTGACTGGTATGTGTATCTAACAAAGTTATATCTAGAAATCCTGTGTTCTTTATATTGGCTTCTAAATTAAGCAACTTTTAAATTAAAAAGAAAATTGTGTATAGGTATTTTGCCTGCATGTATGTCTGTTTACCAAGTGTGTGCCTGGTGCCAGTAGAGGCCAGAGGAGGGCATATGATCCTGGGATTGGAGCTATAGACAGTTGTTAGCCACCATGTGTGTGCTGAGAATCAAATCTCCATCCTCTGTAAGGACAGTCAGTGCTCTTCAGCTGTTTTAAATGAAAGTATGTTATTGGGGAGGGCTTTTCGAAACAGGGACTAATGTAGAGCAGACTGGCCTAGAACTCACCATGTAACTGAGGTTGGCCTAGAACTCCAGGTTCTCTTGCTCCAACCTCTCAAGTGCTAGGATCACAGATAGAAGTCACTCTCACCATGCCTGGCAAAGCATTTAAAAATATCTCTTTTTAATTATTGAAGGAGTGTGGAGGGTGGCTGGAGAGAGATTGCCTATGTCTTAAGAGTACTTAGTGTTCTTATTGTCCCAGCACCCACATGGCCCCTCACAATAGTTTGTAACCCCAGCTGTAGGTGATCTGATGTCCACCACTGGCTGCCTTAAGAACATGGTTCACATTAACTCCCATAGGTGCATGTATACACATATAAATAAAATATTTTTTAAAAGAGAATTGGTTTATTGTGCATAATCACTTTTTTTTAATCCTCTTTTGTTTTTTGGAAATGGGGTTCCTCTGTGTACCCTTGGCTCTGTAAACCAGGCTAGCCTCAAGCAGAGATCTGCCTGCCTCTGCCTCTCTGCCTCTCTGCCTCTCTCTCTGCCTCTCTCTGCCTCTGCCTCTTGAGTGCTGGGATTAAAGGCCTGTGCTACCAATGCCTGGCTGCATAATCACGATTCTGACTGGGCTAGGAAATACTATGGGAATTATGGCTTTTGTAGCGAAGGACAAAATTATTAATTTTAATAAGGAAAGGAGGAAATACGTGGACTGTAGCTCAGCTGACAGAATGCTTGCCTAGCAAGCACCAAGTCGCGGGTCTTAGCCCCAGTATTGTCTACACCATACATGGTGGTACAGTCCTTTAATCCCAACAGTCAGGAGCAGATCTCTGTGAGCACAAGACCAGACTGGTCTACAAAGTGAGTTTCAGGACAGCCAGGGCTACATGGAGAAACTTTGTCTCCAAAAATCAAAACAAAATGAAACTTCAAAGTGGATATGGTTGTAGATACCTTGAGTTCTTGCACTTGGAAGGGAGATGATGCAGCCTGGTCTAAGGTTAGCTCTAGGCCAGCCAGAGCTGCTACATGTTGAGACACTGTCTCAATAAGTCAAAATTAATTTAAAAAAAATTTAAAACCCAAAAGATGAAAATACTTGAAATAAACTGAGGGCATAGAAGCTTATTCTCACAGAAAAAAAAAATTTAAACAGTATAAAAAATAAAATATAGCTGGAGCTTGTCCTAGCGGCACAGGCCTACTAATCCCTACACAAGGAGGAGGATCATAAATTTGAGTCTGAGGCTTAGAATGAGTTCCAGGTAAGCACAGTCAACTTAAATCCTGCATTAAAATAAAGTAAAACGTATAGAGATACATCTACCCTGCCTTCTGAGTGCTGGGATTAAAGGCGGTACCACCAAACCCAGAATAACAGCTATTTTTGGTTACTAGTTTATTATCGCCTGTTAGCAGACATGCTACTTAGGTGCTCACAACAACTTCATGTGAGTATGAAGCCTTGTCCCCACTGACTTACGTGCAAACTAAGATTTAGATTAAGCAATCAGTTTGAAGATAGCCTCTAGTTAGGATAAGAGGCTGGGTTCAAAGTCGTGTCTGAGTGGTGCTTGCCACTATCTTCAGTTACTGTCTTTTACTTTACTGCCCTCGTGGGTTTTCTAAGCTTTGAATTTCAGGTTATTTTAAGGGACAAGGTCTGACAGTCTTCCAGCCTGTTTACAGTCACTTGAGAAGCTGTGAGGGCTGTGGCTGGACAACTCGCAGAGGCTAGCACTAAAGGTCTAGGAAGTCTAGTGGGAGGAGCTAGGAGAGGTGGGGCCAAGGGACTACCTATCCCAGCATTCCGCGGGCTCCTCCCTGCGGAGCTCACGTCACGTGGGCGGTACTGGCGACATTCTGCCGTGGCGGCTGGGGGTTGCAGACCAGCGCTGTGGAGCAGGAGGAACAGCCGAGTGGCGCCGCTGGTCCTGACTGTCCAGTGTTTTAAAACCTGGCTGGAAATTGTAAGTAAGCAAAACGAAAACACAACTTTGGCATATTTTAATGTCTGAACTACTATTTTCTCCTTTCAAAAGGTCTTTGAAAAAGGATCCCTCCCCACCCCCACCTCCCCTACGGCACAAACAGAAATCGAGGTAGGTTGGGATGGGTCTGTAATTTCCGGGAGGGTGCTGCTGAAACTATACCTGGAATCTTTCAAGCATAAAACGAAACAGGGTGAGCGTAGACTTTTGATACGGACTTCAGATGAGAAGTAAAATTACTTAAAAGTTTTGAAATGTAAACGAGAATTCTTACTGTAAGAGTCCATTTCTCTTATCTCACTGCGTAAGGATTCCAGTAATCTTCTAATCCTTAAAAGATAGAACAGTTACTAATAATGCTGAAAGGGACAAACTTTGAAACCCATAATTATTTAACTTACCTATTTATGTACTCAGCTGTGTTTCATACCCAGAATTTAAAAAAAAAAACAAAACTTTGACCAAAATCTGTAGTAGTCTCTACTTTATCCAGGGATGAATTAACTTTTCTAACTAAATATGCCAGTTTTGTTTGTGTTACCAGTCTTTTTTCCCCCCCCTAGAAGATAGGGTTTCTGTTTGTGGCCCTGGCTGGCCTCGAACTCGAGATCCACCCACGTCTGCTTCTGGAGCACTGGGATCAAAGGCATGTGCTACCACACCCTGATTGCTTGTCCTTGGGTTTAAAAATCGGTTATTTAAATGTATTAAAAGGGTTTTGGTTTTGGTTGTTGTTGTTTTGTAAAGGCTACAGCAGGGACCCAGAACTACCAGTTTTTTATACTGTATCATTCCTTTGCAAATAGAAAATGATTTAAGAACTTTGTAGTAGACAAACTAAAAATAAAAATGTTCTAGGAAGCCTTTTGCATTGGGACAGTTTAAACAAAACAACCTGGTTCTTTATGAAAACTTTCGAGGCCCTTAAGTAGTGTTGATTGACCTGGATGCAGAGTCCACAACCAGATAACAAGCTTTGTTGCAGTCATCACGTGACCTTAGCTGACTCATTTAAACTTTTTTTTTGTCAAGTTTCCCTTCTAAGGTAGAGACACCTAGAGCTTCTGTAATAAACAAGTAACCAGAATTTAGCTGGTCACTTTAGAAGTGGAGTAGGGTTTTTGGTTTGTTTGCTTGTTTTGTGGGGTTTTTTAGTTTATTTTCTGAGGTAGGATCTCTTACATATCCCTGGCTTACCTGGACCCCAGTGAGGCCTGAACTCAAAGACCACAAGCCTCTGCCTCCTAAATAGTAGGATTAGAGAGTTGTGCCCCCGTGCTTGGCTGTCACAGTTGTGCATTTTATCCTGCAGATAGTTATTTTAGACCATTCCAAGGAATTAAAATTTCCCAAGGCGAACTTTGTTTAGAGAAGCCCTTGTTTGCCTTTATTTTCCTATTAAACACCAAGGCCACTATGAAAAGCACACACACTTGGCTTTCTGCAGCCTACACCGACGTGTTTCTGAATCCCCAGCACCCCTTGTAAATTGACCTACATATGGTTTTTCAGCATAGTTTTCATATTTTATCATAAATTTTGTGCAGTAAGACAAGCGTTTGTCAATAAGGTTATCTTGAACAGTGATTATATACGTGGACTTTGGCATTACAACTGATTGGACTTCCTGTACTGTTAGTCCCCCGTTGCTGGCCTGAGGATCGTAGGACTTCGGCAGATAACTACTTCTGAGTGGAGAGTTGTAGGGTTGTTTCAAATATTTAATGAAATCGTTTAAGTACAGAAGTAAAAACAGCAATTACTAATTGGGTTCTTTCTGTATAAAATATTAGAAAGATTATATATAGAACATGATTTTGATAACCCAGATAGAAATGGAAAAAGTTCATCTGTAATTTCATAACTTCTACAGATGAAATCGTGTTGCCTTTTAGTAACTCTGCTTTAGTACTTGACAAAACCAAGTTTAAAATGTTAGCTTTTGCCTTCTGAAGGTGTAGCTAGCTCTAACAGAGCTACCTGGATTTGCATATTTCTAACTTGCTAGAGAAAACAGAGGGCTTTCATAATTGCAGGTCCACTTAAAAGCTCTGGTGTTTGAGACCTTTTTGTATCCTTCAGCAGAGCTGTGTGCTGCCCTCATTTAAGTGTCATGCTGCCTTTGGCCATCTAGGTGGTGGTATTGCACTTGTGGTTCAGAACAGCTGCAGCATAAAGACTAGCACAGGAGCGGTCATTCAGGTTCAGGCAGAGGAGACTGCTGGCGGGTCAGTGTTGGTAGACTTCCTGTGGCTCTCCGAGTCATTCTGGAGTCATCCTAGGGAGTGACTTCAAACTTCTCTGCATAAAAGTAACGGTGTTTGTTGTTTGGCTGTTTGGTCCACCGTTTTAACCACATTTTATAGGGAAATGAGAATATTAATGACGTGAGTGCCTTAGAAGACAGATCTGTTAATGGGAGCTGTAAAAATACAGTTTAGACTCAAGGGGTGGTACAGATTTTTTTTTGTTGTTTTTTCAAGACAGGGTTTCTCTGTAACCCTAGCTGTCCTGGAACTTGTCCTGTAGGTCAGGCTGGCCTCCAGCTTTCAGATTCTGTCTCTACTCTGAGTGCTGGGATTGAAGGCGTGTCCCACTCCCCTGGTCCATTTTGTTGTTTTCAAAAAGGGTAGGATTTTAGAATAAAGGGAACTAACTTTAAAGAGAAATGTTTTCTTTAAATGTTAAACTTTATAGGACCTGAGTTCAGATCCCAGTATAGGAGTAAAAAGTATGATGTGGCTATGTAACTTTACCACAGGCTAGCTCCAGGTTCAGCAACATACCTGTTGCAAAAGGTCATTTGGCATAAGCTCCACAGGTTTCTAATGGGTCTCAGGGATGGTGTGTCTAAATTTGTAGTTCTAACAAACTCCCAGGAAATGCTAACGATTCTTGGATGGTAAGTTGAATATAGTATATATATTTAAAAAAAAAAGAAGGAGGATTAGTGGTAAACTGGGTCCAGTAGTACCTGGCTGTAATACCAGCTACTTAGTAAGCTGAAGGCGGAAGGAAGACTTTAAGTTTAGCAGCCACCTGAGCAACATAAAAAAGAAATTATTGTCATAATTGTTGCTTTGTTGCTTTGATGATGCCTCCCTAGTAGAAGTGGACATTCGGATCTTGGATTTTGAAAAGTTTATTGGAAGGCTGGGAACCACCGTTAAGAAGCACCTAATGGCCAAGCTGAAACAATGTGAACTGCAAAGAGAATGCTAGTGTAGAGTTTCAACCCATAAACTGTACTCATGTGTCCTTACTGATAACAGCTTACTGACTAGGCCAGTGAATAGAGAAGGGATGAGTCACAGAATGTCAGTGGACACACAGCAGGTAAGAAGGAACTAGGAAGGCACCAGTAAGCAAGCATTACTAAAGTAATTGTTTCATTTAACGTCTGTCTGTGATGCTAGCGGGCTAAAGGTAGAGGAGGATCAGGATAACTACATAGTCTCAAAGTGTCTCCCCTGAGATAATTATTAACTATAAAAGAAAAAGTAATTGATGGTGGAGATAGCATGCAGACCTAGTGGTCAAGGTTCATACTCCATAAGACAGGGACAGTATGAGCCTGAGTAACATATGATACCTGAGGACAGACACATTGTTTCTTCAGTGTTAGTTATTCGTGATAAAAATATCTAAAAAATTTTTTCTTTCAAATCATGATAAAATGTTACCCAAACTTAAAGTGACAGACTTTCTCCAAATTGACACTGTTCTTCCAAACTATCAAGGTCACAAAAGACAAGGTGAGAGATTGAGAAAAAGTAAAAACTAAATGTAATAAGGGACCTGTTTTAAACATGAAGATTCTTTCCAAGTTCTTAGAGTTTGCTGATGCAGATTTCAGATAATCGGGTCCTTCAACATAAGATTGGAGGTTGCAAGATACGTGAACCAACAGTAAACCATAGAATATAGGAAATACTTGCATTCATAGGCTTAGCAGATTAGAGAAGGTACCAGATATGATGTAAGGCCGTATTTTTAGGAAGTTAATTCTATTATGCCCTGGGGGTGTTACTTGTTTGGGGAAGGCAGTAGGTAGAATATGGGGTGTGGGTGATTCTATAAGGGAGCCACTTTGATCGAACAGAATCCTGGCTTGGAACCTAGAACAGAAAAGGAACATTAATAGACTTATCAATGTTAAATTTCTTGGTTTAAATCATGGCACCTTGTATAAGATACTGTATGAATTATGTAAGGCAACTACATCATTTCTGAGACTTTTCTGTAAGCCTAATTTAAAAATAACTCTAGTAGTAAGCTGTTGGGACCACGTAGCAGACAGTCAAAGGCAGCTTGGTCTACATAGCTAGTTCCAGTCCAGCCAAAGCTACATACTGAGATCCTGTCTACAATCCTAGCCCTTTGAATAGTGGGGATGGGATGGGATGGGTTGAAACAGGAAGATTGCCCCCCTCCCACCCTCATTTGAAAGAGAGACTCTGTCTCAAAAGAAGTAAGATAGGACAGGCTGTGGGGTTGCATGCCGTTAATCCCAGCATTGGGAAGGTCCCACCCTCGTTTGAAAGAGAGACTCTGTCTCAAAAGAAGTAAGATAGGACAGGCTGTAGGGTTGCATGCCGTTAATCCCAGCATTGGGAAGGAGAGGCAGTCCTGGCAGCTCTGAGTTTGACGTCCAACAGGGTTACATAAAGATACATAAGGATAACTTTTTTGTTTGTTTGTTTTGTTTTTTGGGACAGGGTTTCTCTGTGTAGTCCTAGCTGTCCTGGAACTCACTCTGTAGACCAGGCTGGCTTCGAACTCAGAAATCTGCTTGCCTCTGCCTCCCAAATGCTGGGATTAAAGGCGTGCGCCACCACTGCCTAGCAAGGATAACTTTCTTTATAAGACTAGATAAGAAGTGAAGGAAATAAGGTGTATCAACATGCCTATAATCCTAGTATTCAGAAGGCTAAGGAAGAAGATTGAGTTCAAACTTGACTCTCCAGAAAAAAAGTAATTGTGGAAGTTAAGGTAAAAGTAGGGGGTCATAGCCCAGTCTCACTGTATGTATAATTCCAGCACTCATGAGACTGAGGCAAGAGAGGCACCAACTGAGGCCAGGTTGTGCTGTGCTACTAGGGAGATCCAAT